TGAAACAAAAATAGAAGGAATGAAGATAGGAAACATGAAACAAACAACAAAAACAAGAGAAATAAACAAAGCAAGGAGGAAAAGAGAAATGAGGGACAGATTGGTGAAAAAATTAATAAACTGAAGCAACTTAGAGAACAAATTGAAGAAAATGTTCCATACTTATTCAGACCTGGGTTCAAACTTTCTGACTGCGTATTAACTCTGGTGGCAAAGTAAAAAAAAAAAACCACGCTGCAACAAATTAAGATCATTAGCTTACTTAGATTCGCGTTAACGTAAACAAAAGTTATTTCGAGCACGAAACGTTTAATGACACTATTAAACTTTGCTATATTTCATGAATTGTCCTACCAGAGAAGAGACGTCTAAACACATTTATCTCTCACCGTTTACGAAACGGAACGCAACAGACGCCTATGTTACCATGGTGACGGGCAAGGGGCGAGGACAGGGGCGAGCGCGTTCCGTTAAATTCCGTCAACTCACAAAACTCAGACCGGAAATACGTAGTTTGGGTTTTAAAATAAGAGTCAAAACATACACGCACGCGTGTTTTTCCGTTTTCTCATGAACTTAATTAAAAAAACTTAATAGATAAACTAAAACGTATATCAGAATATTTCTATTCAGCAAAAACACAGACAATGCCGCACATTTATCCATGCAACAACCTCATAATTTTATTTTGAAATTTAATGGAGCTACTGTAATGTCAGCGCTCCTCAGTTTGTCCTATCCAGAACACTATTATGTTAGATTTAAAAGTCTCATATATCAGCTGCATAACAGCAGGGATGTTGCTTTTTGTTCAGATCAGCTATGCAGCTTGGAGCTTGGACGTAGATGGGCATTCTCGCGGAAAAAGGAAACATGATGAAGAAAGTTGGACTGATCGGGCTGCTGCTTTTACACCAGGTAAAGAGAAGTACACCTGCTTTATTGCAATGCCTGAGAATAAAAAAAAAAAAAAATCCAATAGTATTTTGTTTTACAGGCTAGATCGTCACCAGGTTGCACTCCTCATGTCGATCCTATGAAAGAGGAAGAAAAGTGCATGAAAAATATCATATTGGTCAGGGAACAAAAAGCAAAAGGTAAATCAATACAGTTTTTAATTTTGTTAAAATGTTCTCTTCCTTTTTCACGTGTGCATTTTTTTTTGACAAAAACGACCTCCTTTTCAAATTAGCATTTTACACTAAAATGAGGTAAATGTTTCATAATTTGGGCCTTTACAGAAATTTCACGTTATGTTTTAGTGACAGCTAGTGGTCATATAACAACATGAATTAAAATATGATTTTCGGGGCAACTTTAATCTTAATTTAGACCATTAACTCTTCTTTTTTTTTTTTTGCATGTATTAATTTTTCTTAGCTGCTTTACTGCTACAAGTAAACATGAAACTTGTCATTCTTGTTTTATGTGTAGTAAACAGCAGTGTGTATTGTGAGGGAAAGTGGGAAGACATGCACTGCTGGCCACCCGCCTCTCTGGGGGAAACAGTCTCGCTGCCATGCCTGGATATCTTTGGGCGTGTTTCAAAAGGTGAGATGCAAGGGCGATGACGCACATTAAGAAACTGTAAACCATTACCTGCACCTCGTCCCACTGGTTAATTATTTCCATAGAAAACTAATTTGTCTTCGGATGGGACAGAGTTTCTTCTTCCTCTTACCGTCTCTATCCAAACAGCTATGTGAAGCTTGTGTACACAAAAGACTGGGCAACATGTAAGAGTGCTGCGTGTTAAAGGGATAATAAATTATCTAAACAGCACACGAAAGTGATACATTAATGTCCTTGTCGCCTTTAATTTATCACCTAGGTTCAATATTCTGAATATAGACACTATGAACACCATTTACCTTTTGCCAGTCATTCCTTGCATGCAGGTATTTCTGCAAGGTTACAGTCAAAAGAAGGCAGGAAGGAGTGATTTTATTGGTATTTTGCAGGTGAAGTGCATAGCAACTGCACCAGCAATGGATGGACGGGTCTTCTCTCCCTACATGAGGATGCATGTAGCTACGCTTTCAATGACTCACTTAAATATCTAGAACATGTAAGTAGTTTTCAATTTCGTAAAAAATAAAAAAAGACATTATTTCATGCAATACCCCTAAAAACTTCCCTTATTTTCCTGCTCAAAGTCCTCCTGTTTTCCGACTTATAAACATCAACACACATCTCCCATGACAACAGGGAAACAGAAAGCAATGAAATAATAAAAATCAATACTATAATGAACTTGTTAAGAAACTTTGTTATATCCTTGAGATATTCAGAAGAGTTTATATATATATATATATATATATATATATATATATATATATATATATATATATATATACACACACATATATATATATTTCTAGGAAGATGTTATAAGTGTTTAAAACTAATTTCTCTTCCTCAGGACTCAGCTTCCCATTGGTTTTTCTCCTATGTGAAGACCATGTACACCATCGGATACACACTCTCCCTTATCACTCTTACAATCGCTATCACCATCTTCTGCTTCTTTAGGTGAGAAATATTTCCTTTTTTTCCCTGTTGTCCTTCCATCAACCACAGACCGCTCTGTAAAACCCTCCAATGCGTCACCTTTGGCCTGTTTATTGTCATCGGGTGAAGCACAGCCGAGCCCGCCTCTAAAGCAGAGTTGATATATTCTGCAGGAAGCTGCACTGTACAAGGAACTACATCCACATCCAGCTGTTTGTCTCCTTCATCCTGAGAGCCATCTTCATCTTTATCAGGGACGGTCTCCTTTTTACAGATTCAGAAGGCTACGACTGCGACAGATCCACTGTAAGGATGACAGGCGATCATTTTAAATAAGAAAAGAAAGAGTTTCTTGCCACTGAAATGAGACGGTCTCTTCTGACACAATTTTCTGCAGGTGGCTTGTAAGATTGTGTTGATGTTCTGCAACTACTTCATCCTTGCCAACTACAGCTGGCTGCTGGTGGAGGGTCACTTCCTGTTCACTCTGGTGAGCCGATCCTTCTTCTCGTTGAAGAAACACCTCGCCTGGTCCATCCTCCTGAGCTGGGGTACTGCAATATGATACGTCTCACAGTTTTGTCTTTGTTTTACCTGTAAACATATGCTTTAAAGCTCAACGCTGTCTCTGAAATACTGCATTCCTAAATGTCTTACAGGCGTACCATTTATTATTATTGTCTGCTGGGGATGTGCTAAGTATTTTTTTGAAGATGAAGGGTAAGAAACTAAAATATTCATCAACCATCTACTTAATTTTAGATTTCTAAATGTCAGAAATTATAATTATTTCTTATTTCTTGGGTACAGATGTTGGGAAAGAAGAAAACATGAATGGATTTGGTGGATACTCCGTGTGCCAGTTCTTCTCTCCATATGTGTAAAATATTTGTTGTTTTAGAACATACTTCTGGAAATAAAATTTGTAATTTTTAAGTACATGTAGCTATATCGCAGTGCTAATTGGCTGTGCTAATTAATTAATTAAATAAATGGCTAGCTAGCTTAGCTTAGGAACCAAAGTAGTTCTTGGCCTAGTTATGTTCAATGACTAAACATGCAGCTAAAACCTAGCCTCTGAAGTACAACCCAGACTATTTAAAATACATTTTTCATATTGTGAAGGGAAAAAGAAATATTGTAGGCTATACAGTGGTGCAATTGGTAACATTTATCTGGGTATTTCTAAATGGAGTTCACGTTTTCATATCTTGGGAAATAAAATGGCTCAATACTATTGGATGGCATCGTTAGCTTACCTTAGAGTATTTATGCATCTAGGTAATAAGCTACCACCAATAACTTGTTAGCTTAGCTTAATTTATTTCAAGGAAAGGCTCTAATGAAGCTGTTGGCCTGGTTATGTCTGAAGATTTATTATTGAACAAATAAATGTGGCTTTGTAGCCTTTTCAAGTCAATGAGCTAAGACGCTGCTGCTATTAATGCCAATGTAAATCTAGCTAATGCAAATATGTCTTTAGCTGACAAGCATTGAAGTTGGTTGACTCTTCTCAGCTACCCTAAAAGACAGGTAGATGTCAAACCAATCAAATGCTAAATCTGAATTTTTTAAATATATATTTTTTCTACTTATTTTAGGTGAATCTCATCTTTTTCTTGGGTATTTTGAGGATACTGATCAGCAAACTCAGAATGTCAGACGCACACCGGAGCGAATTCAGTCAGTATATGTGAGTCTTTTTCACTATATTATATCCAACGTATTTTTGTTCTGGTGAGTCGGAAGCACTGCATATTTATATTTGGAAGTAAAAATTTTACAATACAGTTTTTACAGTTGTAAAAAGTCAGAAAGACTTCCTGACAACTTAAGCCAGAATTTTTTTTTTTTTTTTTACTGAAGAAACTGTTTTGTTTTTTTTTCTTTAACAGGAAGCTGATTAAGTCCACATTTTTCCTGGTGGCTCTGTTTGGACTCAACTGCATTCTGTTTGTTTTCATACCCGTCAACGTCAGCATCTCTGTATTTAAGATCTGGACGTCTGCGGAGCTGGCGCTCTCATCCATACAGGTACGTTTTGCTCACATCATTCAGGTCCCATTTATACCACACCTAAATAATAAAGAAATGACTCAAACAGAACCTTACTGTGACACAGGAAGTGAACTAAATTATTTTAAAAAGCAGCACACAGTGTTGCAGCCAGGGGTTGGGCGTGACTGGGCCTGAATAGTTTACGTCCACTGCATTTAAAACAAGCAAAACAAATCTATTTGGGTAAGTATTTTTTCACAGTGCTGTTAAATCCCATAATCTCAATGTGTAATCCTGTTGCATCTCCCAGGGTTTTGTGGTCGCTGTTCTCTACTGCTTCATGAATGGAGAGGTAAAATCTGAACCGTCAGCCACAATGCGAACCTTGTGAAGCATGGACCCAACCGGGCAGCGCTGTTGTTGTTGGTCTTGTATGTTTCAGGTGCAGCAGGAGTTTAAGAGGCGGTGGAAAAGATGGAAGCTCACCCGGCACCTGCCCAGCCGGAGTCGACAGCATCACGGCTCCATCAGCCAGATTGGATCGCCTCACACGCAGGTCTCCCTGCTGCCCTCTTCTCCTGTCAGTCTTACGAACACTGGATTCCCTGCAGACACTCTGGAGATGTGAACATAACTCTGTGTAAGAACTTTTCTTGTAATCCCAAAGAACAGTTAAGAGCTATTTGCCTATGGGACAAATTTGATTAAAAATGAAAATTTGTTTGCTTTGTTAAGGCTTGACCAGACCAGGGAAAGTCCCAAAAACATATTTAATCTACATTGCAAACATTTTCAGAAGAATAAAAGGTATTCTAAACAGCGAATGCTCTCATTGTGATGAGAAAGCATGACTCGTTTAAATTGTAATATTTTGACTTTTTATTTAAAGAATATCCATAGTTTGTAGCTAACCTTTTCCATTTTAGCTTCGTATTATTTATATAATGACATTTCAGATCATTTCAGAGCCAGAAGATCATTCATGCACACAAAAAACAAACTGGTGGTGGAACAGCTGTAGCGATATTAGGCTACAATAGATTAACCTTTGCATTTGTTGGTAGCTTACATATAAACAAAAAGGGCAACAGCAGACAGAAAATTTTGTAAAAACACTCTTTGTTTTAATTAAAACATCTAATAAACAGTTGAAAGGATGGTTTGTTTGGATGAGACCAAAATCTGGCAGAGACATCAAACATTACCTGGAAAAAAGCCCTTGAGGTTAATGGCCAAATTGCAGGTGTGTGTACAGTAAACAGTACATTCAGTTTATGACAGAGAAGAGAGGATATGATGTCTGAGTGCTGCAGTTTTCCATCAGGACCCCATCAAAAGCTGCCTGCCCTGAATGAAATTAACCCTTAGTGGTATTTTCAGGGGCTTCATAAGAAAAGAGTTCATGAATTTTAAATCCTTAAACATGACAATTTGGATCCCATACCTTTATGCCAAACAAGTAAAGTATGTGTTTCACATTTAAAAAGATGAATTAAATCATGAATCATGAACAGTTCAGCTTTTACTCTTATTTTAGTCCTAGATCGTATAATGAAAAGTTTCCATAAACATTAGATAGTAATTTTCACAATTAAAAAAAAAAAAAATGAGCAAAGTTTTCTCTGTCTTTTTTTTTTTTTTAACAGAGTCCACATCACAAAACCTGACACATTGTACCATCTGGAAAATAATAAATTCCTTTTAAGCACTTAAAGAGGAATACATTACATCATCATTGGCTGCTTGTAAAGAAAAATATATTAAAGATCCAAAACATTTTAGTCTTTCTGCACAACATTGCTTTTTATATACCGACATAACTCACTTAAGTGACTTAAGAAAAAAATATTTGAGACTTTTACTTGAAAACATAACAGGATTGAAGTAAATATTAAGCAAAATACTGCATACAGGTACATCTCAGTAAATTAGAATATAATCAAATATGTGGGTTATAGGTTGTATATTTTATAGATTCCTTATAGAATGCTATCAAGTTTCCTTGTTCATGAAGCTGGCTGTTCAGAGTGCTGTTCCAAGTATATAAGTGAAAAATTGTGTGGAAGAAAAAAAGTTTGGCAGTGGTACACTGGGAAATTCATGTTTTACTCGACAGTCGAGGTAAAAGACTATAAAGCTACGAAACTGAGAAAAAAATGTTTTAATTAGAAAACTAAAATGGTCTTCTGATGTTTTATTTCAAAAACAAAAATCAGACACTCAGTTTTTCTTATGCATTTCTTTATTGTTGTATTTCTTAAGACTCTATATTCCATATTTCTCTTTTAGCTTTTCCACCAACTTCACATAAGCTGCCATTGCTTCTTCTTTGGATAAACCTGTTGGTTTGGGAAACAGACAAAGCACATAATTCTTGATGGTTTGGTTTAGTTTTAGACTCTTTCAAAGATTTAAATCTACATTTTGTTCAACCCTACATTGATTTGTTGTGCTGAGGTATTTGTAATAAAGTTTGATGAATCCAACCTTTCTTTGCGTTCCATGCATCCCATTTTGCTTTTCCTGTAAGATCGAATATCCCTGGTCGTTCTGTGGAAATAAAGAGCCTTGCATTTAGCCTCAAGCGACTTCAAAACATAATTAAAGTCAGTACAATTTAATTTAATAGACCCACTAATATGAGATAACTGAACTTTAAACGTTCACTGTTCATATCAGGCTTATGAAGTGTTATTTCAAAAAGGATCATCTCAACTTTTTTTAACCAATGTGCCACTCAAACACAGGCCTTGAATTTAAGTTATCTGAAATAAAACAAATATAAGACTCTATAAATATTTTTTAAAAGTTGCAAAAGTACATGCTTGTTTGCTTTGTCTGGAGATAAATGCTGAATGTCCTTGAATTTTATTCTACATGGTTGAGACAGTCTGCAGGGCTTTTTTGGGCATTTGTTGCCCCCTGCTGGGCCCTTTGGGTTGTGGCCCGGTGATGTTTGGGTCAACATACATTCTTTGAATATTTTTGTCAGTCATGCATAATTTTTCAAATTATAGTTTGCCGAGTATGGTTTAACTAATCTTTACTTATAATGCCAATATTAAGTTTTAATCTAATGATAGACAGTGAAGCTTTGAAACTAAAATAAGAAAAGAAAACTATAATTTCCTTAATATTGCAAAATGAGCTGCTTTGTGTCAATTGTAACTAAAGCCTTCGCTGCACTTGACCTGTTCAGCTAAATCTGAGTTAGAAGACTGTTTTATGGACGTTTTAAAAGGTTGCAATGAATCTGATGTAATCTGAGGTGTAGGATCCAATATTAACTGTTTAAAAAGAAACAGAACATGTAAAAGTTTCTGCAGATAAGCTTTGAAAATGCTGGATTGCTGATATACGGGTTCATATGAAGACGTTATGTTCAATAAAGTCTGATAAATAAGATGCTTCGTTTAAACTACATACTCATTGTTCATAATCTGAAATCTCACTTATCAAACCTGTTTTTAAGAAAAAATAATTTCAACCCCACCCTGTCCAAACAAGGGATACAAAACATCCCCACTACATACACTCACCCGTGTTCACGTCTCCAGCAGTGGCTTGTTTATACAAACCATAAATTGCACTCATTTCTCCTGAATCTGGCTTTTGTCTCAAGACCTTCACCTCCTCTGCTGCTTTCTTAAATGCTTCCTGGAAGAGAGGAAGGAAACGGAGCATTAAACCTGACAGAGTAACCTATGAAAACCACGGGAGACTTGAAGCAATCAAACTCAGAGATTGGAGAAAAGTCAGCTCACACGAAGCAGATCGGTTTGGTTACATGGCAGGAAATAAAAGTGGTAGTTTAAAACAAAATGCACTTACAGACATGGTGACAGGGTGTAAGGCTTTGCTGCTGCTGAAACTTCCAACTGTAAGTCTTGCTCAACTCGTCCTGCAAGCATGTCACGCGGGAAATAAGCTAGGAAAGTGGGGAGGGATTTCCTGGTTGACAGCGGCAGGTAAGCGGTATGTTACACCCTATTGATCCCCAATCAGCATAACAGAAATAATCAAACTTTAAGCTTATTTATCATTTCACAAGTTTTTGTTGTTGTTTTGTTTTATTTTTTTGTGTTTTATTTATTTATTTTTTTCCGGATTGGACCGAAAATAAAACAGTGACATTTACGGTGCAGTTCAGAAAACTGCCACAAGATGGCATCATCTGGATATGTAGCGCCTAATAAAGTAATGTCTATGGATATATTTGCCCTCTTAGCTCAGTTTAAAGGTTGTTACATTTTAAAGCCTGCTGGAAATCCCTTATCTACATTCATATTGAGCACAAGCATAGAAAACACATTACTGTACAAAAATCAAATCAAATTAAGTTTTATTTGTATAGCACCTTCCAGCAAAGGTCAAAGTTTACATTCTTTTATTGGCAACAGTTAAATGGCAGCATACAGAAATCACTTTATGTCAGAAAACAATAAAGAAGTAACATTATACTTCAACCCAGATGCTGTAGTGTTGAATTTTGCATCATTAGAACAAAAATGAACTACATAACTTTCACTCTATCGTTCCAGTTTTAACTTAAGGTTCACACCTGAACTACAAGTTTTAAAGTTTAAATACAAATCTGAAATGTATTCAATCCCCTTTTATGTAGATATCCCTAAATAAAATGCAGCAGAATCACTTCACAGTCTGAAACTGATGAGACATTTAGAACAGATTTATTCTTTTTACTTTTATTTTTCTAGTTTGATTGTCAAAGTTATTTTGGATGTGTTTTGAAGGCAGCTTTAGGAGAAAAATAAACATGCATTGCTGCATATGTCATATTTGCACAATATTTAATAAAAAAAAAAAGGGAACCTATAAAGAACAAAGATCACAGGGAAATGAATTGAGCAAAAAATCAAAATATTTAAGTAGAAACTTATTTTGGTTTCTTGAGCTACAACAGCTTAGTCTGCTGTGGAACAATGTTGCAGCGTTTTCTGAAGAGCGAATATCATTCTTCACTGTGATTGACACTAAAATAGAGCAAACAATAAATTAAAGAAACAGCAGTCATCTCTGACAGCATTAAGTGTTTAAGGTATCCCTGGCTGGATGTCCCTCAGGCTCTTGTTGAGAAGAACTTCAGTCTTCTGACAAATTCCAGCATAGTATAAATATTTTATCTTCTCTGTGTTGATAATCCACCTTGTTTCTAAGAGCAGCAGCGTTTCTCACACATTACTGACGTTCTCCACCCCGTTGCGGCAGTCTTCGGCCGGCAGCATGAAGCGGATGTGCCGGTTCCTCTCCCAGCCGCGGCGGATCTTCCTGAGCCGCCCGGCTACGCAGGGCAGGCAGAGCGCTGCGCGGCCCAGCAGGACCATGAAGGGCAGAACCAGGACCAGGACGAATGTGGGGGGCATGTAGAAGTGGTACCGTGCAAGAACAAAGGCCCGATTCCACCCGTAGAAGAGCGTGTGGGCGGTGGCCATGAACAAGGCGCAGTAACCAAGTGTAGACTGCGAAACATCAAGCAAACATTAAAAAAAATTTAATGAACACTACATAACATCAGAAAAATATGTAATTGTGATGCAGCTGCAAACTCTTTGGGGCGTGTCTGCAAACTACCCATAAAATGCATCATGTGTTTTGGCAGAGACAGAGAGTCAGCAAGTCCATAGCGTTAGCTGACTGTGTTAGAGGCTACAGCAGAGCCTGAGGACACATGCTGACCCACCACTCCTGACCTAAAGAGACCCCACTGGTGTTTTCCTCTGTGACTGTGACTGACTGAGCTGCTTACTAGACCTTCAGGGGCCACAAGCCACCACAAACATCCCAGGGTTGTCTGGGCTACAGAGCAGGGGTTAAAAGAAAACAAAAACAGTCTTGTTTTTCTGTGTGGAATCGACTGGAGTATTTTAGCTTTATATTTATGCAGTTCATCCAAAATGGAACCCTTTACTCTTTCATTGCAGGTGTTTAATGATTTTGAGTCTTTATTTGTACCAACAATGCTACGAAGAAAAGACAGAAGAATTACCTTAAGGAAGAAATTGTTTCTGCCTGTAAATCTGGGAAGGGTTGTCTGGCTTCTACCAAATAATTTCAAGTTCATCATTTTAAAAAAGAGGAAATGTTTTAGACAGCTGCCAGTTGTTTCTGTAGCAGATGTTTCAGAAAATTCATGCAATGCTCAGAGAACCTTCAACAACTCAACAGTTTCTTTTGAGACTCTGGAGTTTCAGTTCCCAATGTGTTAAATGGTAAAAATCGTGTGTTTACAACTAGAAAAAACTGAGCAGATGAAGAAGACATGATTGTCTGGAAAAAAACTTAGGTTTGCAAGAATCTGCCTTGAGAGCAAAGAGGAGAGGTTAACAGCACAGAGCCATGTTTGGTGAAAAACAGTATATGAGCAGAAACACCTCATCCAGACTTTTGTTGTGTATTTAGCAGGCCAATGAGCACGCTTATCCTGCAGCTTCGCCCAGCGACTCTACATGTACCGAGCGCAAACTCGCCTTTCCTCTCGTCGCCACGTGACTAATCTGACGGCCAGCGGATTACCAAGAGATGAAAGTGGGGTGGGGGGAAATGCAGCACAGGGAGACTGCGAGTCCTGGAAGACCCCAGGCCTCGCGGAGGGAAGAAAAGGAAGTGTGTGCATGCTGAGTCACAACACTTTGGTGGCTTTGTCACAGGATAAGTTTAGCTGTGAATCTGGGGCAGCTGTGGGAGCGGAAAAGCTTGGTGTTTACATGTGTGGGACATTCAGAGTCTTACTTACAGGAGGAATAGTGTGTCTCTGAGGGGATATTACCTTGGAAGTGAAACTAAAAGTGAAACATACCTGGATGAAGCTGAACTCCCTCCAGTTGATGGTGCCGGCAACTGAAGGAAGAGAGGTGACCGCCAGCAGGGAGAGCAACCCGAGGGCCATGATGCCCACGGAAAGGTACAACTCCATCCTCCACACTTCCTCATCCACCCAAGAGTCCTGGACACCAAGCACATTTTATGGCACTGCTTAAGATCAAGACATCTAGCTCCACTGTGTCTTCACCCACCTGCTTGTAGGCCATGTTGGACAGTTTAAACTGGGCAGACTTCCTCAGAGGAAGACACAGGCTGTAAACGGCGTGCAGGACGGCGCACAGGAAGCTACAGAGTCCCAGCTGCTTCCTGCTGAGCAGCCAGCGGTCCAACCAGTTGGGGAAGCGATTGTACTTGGTCCCTGACCACAGCTGAAGGAAGGCAGCCAACAAACCAGGCAGGTAAACCAATGCCAACATCACCAAGGCCACCGATGGTAGGGTGACGTTCACCACTTCTATGGGCATTTTGTAGAAGGCGCTTTTGTGCTCCGTGATGAAAGGATACAACACATCCCGGATGAAGTTGTACAGGTAGAAGAAGATGAAAAGGATCAACATGCAGAGGACAGGGAGGCGCCAGGACGGGAATAAGTAGAGCGGCAGATTTTCGATCTCCAGAGAAGAAGAAAGGAGGCCCATGTCGACGGGGATGAAGCCCATCCTATGGCAGATTGACTTCACTAAGTTCTTGGCCGTTTGGCTGTTGCTGCACAGGAAAACCTGCAGGCAAAAACATGAAACAATCCATTTATTGCTTCCAAAAACATTTAAGTCAATAAGCAAACCATCACTGGAAACTGATGATGTTTCCTACCTGCCTGCCTCCATCTCGGGCGCCCATCTGCAGCGTCCAGGCAGATACGGTGTTGAACCCCTTAACCACGAAGCTTCCAGGGAAATAGTCTGCCAGGAGCTCGGCGTTGGATGGACGCTTATGGTTGATGCTTAAACTGTTGCTAACATCCACCAAGGTCTTTCCAGCTAGCGTCTGCTTCAAGTCCATCAGCGTGGAGTGATGCTCAGGGTAAACTGCGACAAAGATCAAGTCTGCCTTGTTGGCTGCTTCCAACTGGGTGGTCACCTGGAACGCAGACGTTTTTAATGCTCCAGTGGTTCAAATGTGATTATTTTCAAACTGATGGACAGGAAAGTAGAGGTGAAAAGGAATTGGTGTGTAGCTCATTTGTCAAATGTGGTGGTTAGTGTGTTATGATTTGGGCTGGACTCTTCTTAAGCTCCACTAAACACCTCCAAACCAGTAGAGACGTTTCATCCAAACAAGATAAAGATCCCAAACATGATTCTCCTCCATCATGTGGGAAGATTCTTTAACAGCTAAAATCTATACCAACATTCTTCACAATATGCAAAGGAGGCCATTCAAAAGGGAAATCCCCTGAAACCAATGTGGCTCAGAGAGTCACCAGCACCCAGCACCTTGTGTCTGTGAATCACAGACTCCAAGCAGCCACTGCATGCAAGTGACCTGCAACAAAATAGTCAAGATGACTGTTTTGGACAGATAATCCCTGGATTTAGGAGGTATTTTCATTTCAACATGGTGAAACTGAAATGTCTGCAAGTCTTGAATGTGCACACTGGATTGCTGTTTAAAATATTTATTTGAAAATATGAAGGGGATATCTTCCTAAACATTACAGAAAATTCTATAGTTATTACTTCATCTTTATAATCTGTATATGATGTTTTGTCATTTTTCAAGCACAAACTTTTGTTGATGTATTTTCTTCAGCCCCCTTTAGTCTAATACACCTACATAAAACTTAATCCAACCAGCTCAGAGAGATTTAAATTTGTAAAATGCAGCTTTAACCTCAATAAATTATGTAGTCATGATAACAAAAGTAATTACCCTTCGTGGGAAACGAATGATGTATAATCATCTCCAGAAGGAAAGAAACAAAAACACCAATTACACAAAGAGTGTGTGTATCACCTCGGCCTCCTCCGGGAACAGAGCTACGAAGCGTGTGGGGGTCCGACTTCCCACCACGACTTGGTAGCCAGAGGCCACCAGCCTCCTGGCCAGTGAGCGGGAGAAGTCTCCAGTGCCCAGGATGCCGATCACCGGGCTGCTGGGATCCGGCACGGCATCTTCAAAGT